ATATTCATGATAGTTTTTCACTCTTTGGGGATTCTGATGTCTCTTTCTAACAAAGTTAATGTGAATTTACTCAAATATCTGAATGGACTATTTGGCATACATACAGTATTCCCCATGCAATATACAGCTAAACAGCAAAGCAAAAGAACTGTCCCATTTCCTTTAGATCTCCACCTTCAAATAACTAATGTTACCTGAATAAATTTGGCTTTTCAAATATTGCCATGGCTATCCTTCCTGAGACACGGCTCTATCATTCTGCCAAAACCATCTCTACTATCAATAAGTTGACCTATAAACTGATCAGCAAGAGAATCACATTGATCACTGTATCCCAAGGATAAGGCAATTTTCAAACATTCACTTGGCAAGAGAACAAAGAGCTAATGATGGCAACCTGCAGCATTCTCTGCTTGCAAAACAGCTGTTCATATATTTGTAAGCAATATTTTCCACTTTCCTCTTCCCCCTTCTGTTTTAGCTCTAATATCTTACTTTTAAGATAACTAGAGACATCAAGACACCACGTTTTTATTTCCATGACAAACTTAACTTAGAGAGGAAAAATTAATCTAATTTAGCTTAGCACACAAATTGAATTATTGCCTGTATAGTTCATCTTTAGACCTTCATCTATATCCATTCCTTTCCTTCACGTGTTTATGAAATTAGCCAGATCTGCAACTATTAAAACCATCACAGCTCACAACATTCTCAGTGCTATCACAGTACCAGCAAGAGAAATTGTGCCAGTATGAACACAGGAACACTAACTGTCAAAAAAAATCAAAAAAACTGAAAAACCACGACACTTCTAGTTTGTGGTGTTGCTATTACCTCCCTCTATCACAGAGTAAGAAGGTAACATGAGCTGCATCCTTCCTGAGGCATTAAGCAGCCCCTAGGATATGTGTGAAGCTGAGACAGTTTGGTTGCCTGTCTGTTGTGGGGACAGACTCAGAGGCTTTCACATGCTGGTGGGAGGGCTATTTTGGAGTTCTCTCACTGCATGTGAGAAGCAAACTGGCACAGCCAAAAGTCTGACCCATTCTCACAACATCCCTTAACACCTCAGTGTGCATTCTAACACTGATATTACTGCTTTTCATGTACAAACGACTTTTAGGTTTATAAAAGAGAAATGACACCAGTAGGTCAGAAATCATTTTTTTCTCTGAGAAGGAACGGACAAGGGGTAAGAGCATGCACTAGAAAAGAATAAAGCATTAATGTTCATTTTATTGAAAAAAAAAATTCAAATGTAATTTAAGCCAGCTGACATATCAGCCTCAAAAAATGACTGACAGACTGTTACCAAAATGTATCAATTTATGAAATTGGAATCCAGTGGATTTCTACAGGGATTTATTTTTGCTAAGCAGAGCTAAATTCAATTATCTGGAAGGTGCACCTTAATTGCATGCACTTAGTTAATAGTAAATTGAACACTAATGTAAACATTAGAAGGAAGAGAGAGATTAATATGAAGGAAACTGGTTAGAAGTTAGAATGTTAAAAATATACTGAAGAAATAGTCAAGTGAAATGTCACTGGGAAACGAAAGCCAATACAAAATTATTCATATAATAAAATGAGAAGAAATACTGAGATAATGATATTTACAGTAACTTACATACATTTAGAACTCCCTATAATAGGAAGGTAGAGGAAGGAAATGTAGGTGTACACTGTTATCTAAGAGACACTGGACATCAGAATCAAAGGGACAAAGAGCCTTTTAATAACTAGCAATAAATACCGCCCAAGAAGATAACACAACCAAGTCAGTAAGGGAAAGAATAATATATTATTACTGGTATAAGAAGCCTACTCCTGCTGCTAACCTGGGTTACTTTTGCTTTCTCCTGCACCCAGAAAACCTGCCGGCACCCTGAATGTCTGTTCAACATTACCTCTTGAAACAAGGTTCCAGCTTGGTTGGCAAAAGCTACTTTTCCATACCTCATCAGAGATGCACCACACAGGCAAACCCAGCTTGGTCAGTCACTATTCCAGCTGCAAGCAAAATCCTTAGACATACATTACTATGCATAAAGTAAAGAAACCGAAGTAGAGTTGAAATAAAAATAAGTAAGGAGATCCAAATCAAGGCAGAACATTAAGATAAATGCTTGTTTTTAATCAGGTAATGATAGAGAAAATCATTTGCTTATGAGTAGCCGTAAGGAATAAAATCTGAAACCAATTAAACCACCTAAAACCAAACAAATTTTCCTGGGTAGTCCCACCTCTATGGCAACTTTTAAAGTCTGTAATTTTTAGATTTTAAGACTTAGGGGTTTAGGCAATAGTAGCCATGCCATGTGTGTCAGCCTAAAAATTAACTGTTTTCTACAGAAACATAAGCTGGAAAATCAAAGAAATTTCCTAGATCACAAGTAATTTAGGTTCTGTGACCTTCTGATTCTGAGTAAAATAAAGGACTTCAACTTCTAAAGCTTTTATTTTGGTAAATTACATTTTGTGCAATTTCTATCAAGATGTTAGTGTACCACTGACTAACAAGATCCTAACAGCAGAGAGGAGAAACAAGCAGCAGTGTATTTTCCCATCAGCTCTTTCTAATACTGATGCCTTTTGATACGATGAAAAAAATGTAATAGGATATATGGACAGCACCGGATTGCTTGTTTTGATTTTACATCCTTTACTTGTTCAGTCAAGTGCACTGAAGCCAATATGAGACAAAATGAGTGACCCAGAGAGTTCAAATTTATCTAGTTCTTTGCAAGTCCTGATTTCTCTCAAATATCTGTGGGGGAGGGGGAAAGGGGAGAAAGGAAATAAGACAATCTTGTTTCTTTGCCAATAGTCCCTAGATCATAGAATTCTTCTTCTAAAAGGCAATATTACTATATTTCATATAGAATATAATAAGAAAAGTAATTTCCATAGCCACTTTCAGGGATTCAGGCTGAGTTTTGCAGTTCCCACTGATACGAATGGAAGTCATGCCAGAAAATCCCAATAATATGCACTGAAAAGCAGGAAAGAAATACAGATAGAGTTGAATGGGAATAAAGCAGAAAAATCTCTGTGAATTCCAGCTCTAATAAACCAAAATGCTTACTGCTGCTTTTATGACTCAAGGGATATGCAAACTGCAACCCCTTTCACATCTCCTTGACCAAAGCTCTAAGCCATTAAATAGATTAGAGAGAGGGATTTTTAGAAGAAGGAAGATGTAAAAAGCAAGTAGTTGGATGCTTCTGTGGAAACGAGGTGAGAAAGAGATTAAAGATGCTGAAGTGTTCATCCGAATCAGCCCTAAGATCATAAAGTAACTTCATACAATTGATTATCTCTATCGCTACAGGTAGGGCCAGGTAAGGAAAGAAGTAAAGTTGCTTAAGCCAGCTCTGTGCTACATTTTGTAGGTGTATTCAGGACTTGGTGAGTGCCTACTATTTGGGAAGTGGCTTCCCAGATAGCTTTCCACGCCACCATTCCCTCCATGACCCAACACCTTCCCTTCCTGGATCATGAACTACTGCTGCTTTTCTCGTAACACTTCTGGTATACGTTCAGCCCTCTACCCACTGCCAATGAGCCAATTAACTAAAGCAGCAGAAAACTGATGTGATTAAAGGAAAAAGAAACCTTGTCCTACTGGGATAGCAAGCTGAACTGGTTCAGAGAAGAGTCCAACGAGTTGACGTTTGGGAGGGAGCGTAACCGCACCTTTTGTCGGTAAAGGGGCATTAGCTTAGCTTGGCTGTATAGACCTTAAGCTAGCACTGAACTCAGGAGAGATATCCTGCACAGAGAACGTGTTCTCTAGGGGCCTTTCCATTCATCTGAAAGCATCTTTACATAGAGGAATAAAGGAGATGCAGTAAATCTAATCAAACTCAAAGAGCTTTTGGAAGCTCTACCCAAAATACAATAAAAAGGCAATCATTGCTGCTCCCCCCAGATAAGTGAAGGAGTTTGCAGCTCAAGCCCTTGTCCTTAATGTGTAAAACAGGAAAATGAGCTGGCTACTTCTTTACAGTTAGCTTATAACAACATACTAGGAGCTTGGTGGAGCACAGCTACTCAAATGAGAACTAAGAATAACTCTATGCCCTTAAGTCCCTTCTTCGTAATGAACAGGGACATCAGTTCTGTCTCTCTCCCTTTACATTTAGTAAGCTCTGCACTACGGTGCAATACTGAGAGTGAGAAATGTGTTTCCTATGAATTAAACTCTATATATTTTTAAGTAAAATTTCTCAAAACAGTCCAAGTTTAAAACAGTAGAGAGAATATTTTATAAACACAGCTACTGACTTTTTCCTCAAAGGTCTTATTCAGGATAAACACAGTGAACAGATGAAGTCATGAATAACTTGTTATTTATGAAGCTAACTCCAGGGGCTTGTCCCACAGCCTAATACCGCAAGTTCTTTCCTCACACATTTGAGAAAAACAACCAAAAAAACGGAGAAGATGACACTTTAAAATAAAATTCATTTTAAGAGTAAAAAAAGGACTAAATATAAAAGATACAGCAATTTGTGCAATATATAATATACTAGTGATTGAAAAGTAAAGTACTATATGCTAATAAAAAAGTTAATCACAATACTTTAAAAATTAAAATGAAATATTACAAATTAGATTATATTAGAGACTCTTCAAAATATTCCTTTTAGTACCATTTAAGAATCTTTTTTCTTTACACTGCAAGACATGGATACACTAAAATCTCTTAGATAAGACCACACTAATAATTTTTTTTTAAATATAGATATGCAATGTTATCACTATGAAAAAGCCTAGTAACCAAGAGATTTTTTCTAAGAACTATGCAAAAAAATTCAGAACTATATAAATATAAATGCTATAATCCAAACTAATTCAGAGATCAGAGAAATATTCATAAATAAATATTATCAATGAGCGTACAGGAATACAACCTTTTTACTGATCAAAAATATGCAGAAATACAAAGATGTAGAGTTTGAAGATAAAGGAGATCATTCCAAGTAACTCACCTGAATAAGTCAAGCCCAGCCCACAACATATCGACACTTTCACACATCAGCAGGGCAGTATTTCTTTCTATACTAATAGCAAAAAAACCCCACAGCAATTAGCTACGTGTAGCCACAGTTGCACCATTGCCATTTTTTTCCATGTTTCTACTTTATGAAACTACTTACATTCATTCCTATTCATGGCAGCTTAGGCATGCACACAGAGCTTAGGAAATGCTAAAATGTTCTCTTGATTTGAAAGTTGGAAGCACTTTCCTGTCATTCTGTCAAAATCATTACAGAGAATTAAGTAGGTTTTTAATACATTATATATATATGTACACATACACATTTCATATATTTAAAAAACAGATACTTCTTACTGAATTAACACCTATGGAATACTACAAGCCACAATCGGCATGCATGTTGCCCAATGGAGAACGTACAAACTCATACCACCAAGGGAGTGGAAAACCTGCAAGAGTTGTCATAAGAATTACCCTGTCTTTGCTTCTCTGTAAAGTCATGCTCCAAACAACCTACAAGAGCTCTTGAGAAGCAATCAAATTATTCAACCTAAGATAAGTTGCTCCTTTGAAGAGCAAGAAATCCTTTGTATGAGAAATACATGGGAATAGGAGAAACAAAGAATGGCTTTGGGAAGTACAGACAGAATTGCACATAACCATGACAGAAGAGGATGGGAACAGGAACTTTAAATGCTGTACCATTCAAATACAGTAGCTGTTCCTTCTCATGCAGCACTACCATTGCTAAGATCAGATCAAGTCATGGCCAAAGAATGTTTGTCTGAAGGACAACATGGAATTTTTGCCAGTAGATAGAGAAAAACACATGCTGGAGCATTTCCAGGCCCCACGAAGTTACTGTGATTGAAACAACACCCTCCAAACCCAAGCTTAGAAGTGCTCCTAGATTCCTCTCCCACACTAAACTAACACATCCCCCAGACGTGCTTTTTGCTATATATGAATAGCTGAAAACTCCATCCTGCACCAACTGATCAGTCTTTAGCCATGTGATTACACAACTGCTTTTCCTGCTCAGTTTTGAAATATCTATCAGTATTGCAAATCATGGGACGCTTTCATCTACAGCACCTGTATCTTACTGTTGCATAGAGGTATGGAAAGGTATTGCAGGTGAAGAAGGCAAACCCAAGATCAGAGAGCTCAGGGAAGGACTAGATTCCACCCTTACGTCTATGACAGAGCAAACAGGGACGTCGCTTACGCTAGGTTTTTTCCCACGTGGTCAGGAGCAGCATATTATTTTATATGTGTTCAGCTTGAGACATTAAGATATGATTAAATGTTTAATACTCATTCAGCATGCACTGAATATAGGTAGTACTATGGAATAGTCTCAAAATCAGGGCATAAACAACAGAAGTGGGACATATTTGACCTGAGCTTCTGGTTCTCCCCTTTTAATGGAAATGGCATCATCATGGGTTTGTGTATATAAGCCCATATCAGAGCCTTAATCCGTGTTCCGGCTTCACTAGTTTAAAAGCGGTGAAGCTTCTAAGGGTATGGACAACCTCTAGTTCAACAGCCAAAATGGAGCCATCCCACTGCTCCAAGCACGTGTGTGAAGTGGATTAAGAAAACGTGGTTTAGGAAGCTGATCCTTATTACCACTGAACTCTTAGCTGCTGCTTTTGAGATCCACTCTTCCTCCACACTACACCTCAGGGCACTAGCAGAAACCATTGCCACTCATGTAAGGTGCCTTCAAGTCCTGGCTTCCATCCATGTCCACAGACAAGAGCACTTCAAAGCTGTATATTGGAATAGAAGATTAGTAACCCAAGGGCTGAATAGGTGGGTGTGTATATATATATATATATACACACACACACACACACACATATTTATGTGACACTAATACTTTTAAGCATTCTCCTGATGTCCTGTTTCAGCTGCTGATTATACATTCATGATCACAAATATGTTTCTTGGTGGCTTTAGTTGTAGCACATTTCTCAAAGATTTAACATGCTTAGTTATAAATTCACTTATACTATACAGTAGCTAGTTTATGTTTTTTTCCTTTTAGCATATCTATGGGAGGCATGATTATGCAAAACAAGTTCATTGAGTAGACCACTGTTCCTGATCCTTTTACCATTTCATTTTCATCCTTCCACACAGTTTTACATGGATTTAATACTAAAAACAATACAAGATGTATATAGCTGCGATAGTCCAGATCAGGCACTGTTTTTACCTTCAGAGTCATAATTTGATAGCTTGATGTGTCAAACAAAGATTTTTCTCTGTGATGGCCTGAAAAGATACTTGATACAGAATTAAACAGACAACACGTCATCTTCATTCTCCTGCAGTTTTCTTACAGTCTCCAAAATTCTGATCTAAGCTTCTATTCAAGTACTGAACATAATACAGATATAATGGCATATATTGCTGAATTACACTTCGCAAATGTAATCCTTGTTGATCTTCATACACATTTCACTTTTGGCTCCATATGTCTCAGGATTAGTCAGGCTACATTAATAATTCCAGATATGGAGATACCCGACTTCCTACTAAGATAAGACAGTCCGGTGACTAAGGTGTAGGAATGCGATCAGGAAATCTGGTTCAACAGGCAATAATGATACAGATTTTCAGTTCGTTACAGTCTAAGCTCTTGAAAGACAAACTGAGAAAGCTACTTGAAGACAGGAACTTGCTCTGGCAGTTTCTTGCATGAGGCTTCGTATCAGTTCCCCTCATTTCTAAAATGGGGACAATTATTTCTTCTCAGAGTGTTACAAGGGCAAATTTTTACAGTTTAGTTCTCATTTTTACGGTCACTTTACATTGCTTTAGTGAAGCTGAGAGTAAATGGCTTATTTCCATAGCCTTTAAGACCGCTGCACCCGGCTTGTGTACAGATTATCGCTGTATAGAGAACTGGCTTCTAACAAACACGCCTCATACCTTCATAAACAAAGGTTTATTGTTTCCACCTCGAAGAGATGTGAGTCATAAGATTATTAGGACAGTGCCTTTTAAAAAGCTCTGAGTGGGTGCCCTTTTAAGGCTTGCCTGCTCTTCTTATCCTATCTCTTGGTGTACTTTAAAGTTATTAAAAACCTTAATCCTTCCACTACAGTCTACAGAAAAACTTTAGAACAGAAATGTTTGAATGTGGCATGTTCTTACAACAGGTGTGAATCTGAACTACCTTTGGACTACCCCTTTGTCACATCTATAACTACATATTTACATATATAGAGATCCATACCATATATAGATATGTCAAAGGTGTGTGTTTGTGTGTGTATAACACTCATGAGTTATCATACTGTCCTAAACCGTCCTCATAGGTGTAGAAGTGAGGGGGTAGCTTCCTTTAAGATTTTGACATCATGTGGTACCAAGAGGGAAATCAGTGACAGTTCAGTTGATTCTGAGTTTATTCATTACTAGCTTACATACCAGCGGTGAGCTAAGGAGACCTTCAGCTACTGAAACATTAACAGGTAGCACATTATAGATTTAATCTTGTATTTTGAAAGTCTCCAGTAACATTATTTGAAGATAAGCATTCAAGACTGTACTTTCCAAGTCTTTCTTCTCTTTAAAGAGGGATATTATAAATGAATACAATTTCCGTAACATTCACATCCGAGTTATCCATAACTTTGATTCAGTCTTTACTGCTAAGACCAGTCCTCAGGAATTCCAGACCTTGGAGACAAGAGAGGAAGGCTGGAGAAAGGAAGATTTTGCCTTGGTCGAGGAGGATCGGGTTAGAGATCATTTGGGCAAACTTGACATCCACAAATCCATGGACCCTGATGGGCTGCATCCATGAATGCTGAGGGAGCTGGCGGATGTTATCGCTAGGCCACTCTCCATCATCTTGGAAAGGTCCTGGAGATCAATCCTCAGGTGCCTGAGGACTGGAAGAAAGCCAATGGCACGCCAGTCTTCAAAAAGGGCAAGAAGGAGGAGCCAGGAAACTACAGGCCTGTCAGCCTCACCTCCATCCCTGGAAAGGTGATGGAACAGCTCATCCTGGAGGCCATCTCTAAGCATCTGGAGGACAAGAAGGTGATCAGGAGTAGTCAGCATGGATTCACCAAAGGGAAATCATGCTTGACCAATGTGATAGCCTTCTCTGATGGAATGACTGGCTGGGTAGATGAGGGCAGAGCAGTGGGTGTTGTCTACCTGGACTTCAGCAAGGCTTTTGACACTGTCTCCCA